GGCAGAAGATAACCCTGATTGACTACAACTACAACACTGAGAGCTTAAAGGAAACTTTATGGACCTGCTTTAGGAGATTAACCACAAAATAGCCCATGATTGAACCAGGAAAATCCTTGAAGGGATTGTCTGCAGTGCAAGCAGGGACAGGGAAGATCAGGGAAAACACTGTGGACAAAAACCAGACCATGGGTAGAAGGTTTTGAGCAGACCTGACCACAGGCTCAGTCTCACAATAGCTCAGATTTCAATACCATGGAAATATCTTTCAACAGGATGCAGACAGAATTTTTCTTCTCTAAAAACATGAAAATATTTGAGCAAGACAAATAAAACCCAGGAGCATAAGACAATAGAACAGGAGAATCAGACCAGCTTTGGAGCAGTATGGGATGAAACCCAAGTGCAATGTCAAAGCCTTTCTCTGGAACAGTGATTCACTCGAATCGTGATTTTTGTATTCCCTACCAGTTTCCTGCTGCCTGGATTATTAAAGATTTCCTGTCTAAATTTATTTGAATTTAACAAGTATTCTTGAACTCAGCACAGCATGAATATCCCTGAAAGAGATTCCAGAGCTTGTTCTGCTTTCTTCCATTTGCCTTGTACACAAGGCACAGTGTGATACCAACTTACCAACAGCCTGATCAGAAACCTGGGCTTACCTGGAACTAACTTCATAATAATTTCCTTCAAAATAAAACCTCCTCATCTTCCATTCAAACTTTTCTTAAATAGCTACTGCTGCACATAGAAGAGATAAAAATTAAGCTCCAATGTATTTAACTTGCTACATCAAAGAAAAACAACTGGAAAAATATATAAATCTAATCAGAAAAACTAAAAAGTTTTCCTAAGTTCAGATGTAGCCTCAGGACTGTCATAAAAAACAGAAATATTTCCTGTTATAATCTAAGTTGCAGAGGCACTTGTCAAAAGACAAACATCAAAGCAGGTTTCTGCTGGCCAAAGTAACTGCTACAAGTATTCCAAGACTGAATGAAAGGCCAGGTTTAATCATTAGCATACTAGTAAAAAAAAATTCAAACACAGAAGAAACAACCATTCAATTCTATCCTCCATGCTATTTTCTTCAATACCTTTTTTCTAAACAAATATATTCTGATTGGTTTGTTTATTCTGACTCTAAGGTACCTCCCTTGTGCATCCTTCTCTCTGCACAGCTCTGAAGTTTTTAGTTAATAACCATAAATCACTTTGGTCAGATATCCCACGGTGTAGTGGAAGTCTCCAGGCACTCCAGGATTGTTTGGTTTGTTTTCCTTTGTAGGGACACACTGTACACCAGAAAAACGAGCTGGAGTTGTGAGTTGTTTTAATTTGGGGCTTACAGATCTACTCCCAGCTGGAGCTGTGAGATCTGGGGGCAAAGGAGCAGATTCCTCAGGCTCTCCTGCCATCCATGTGCATTTTGAGCTGCAGTGCAGCAGCAGAGCAGGATGGCAGCACTCCCACTCTGCTCTGCAGCTGCTGCAGTCACCAGGCCCAGGAGGAGCTCAGGACACTCATCCTGCAGGGAAATGAACAGTGGGAAGCACTGGAGTCTGGAGTTCTGCTCCTCTGAGGGCTCAGCAAGGATGCCAATGGTGGTTTCCATTGCAGAGCTGCTGCAGGGTACAGCTGGCCACAGCAAGGCAGCTGTAAGCAAAGAAGAAGCACAAATGCTTTCAGCAATGATTTGGGGAGAAAAGAAATATTGCACATGTGCTTTCAGTTATGATTTGGGGAGAAAAGAAATATTGTGGATATTGTTGGGGAATTGCAAGTCAAACGTGCCAGTTGTGAATAATGAAGTTTGATACAACAACAGGGCACTGGGCAGGAATTTGAATGGCTCCAGGTGGGAGGGATCTGCCACCAGCACTGAGTCCAACCCCAGCTGGGCCTGGAGAGCAGGACACAGGGGTGGATTCAGACTGAAAGGGAGCAGGTTTGGATGGGATGTTAGGAATAAATTGCTCTCTCAGAGAGTGGGTGTGCTGGTGTTCACAGGGGTCCCAGGATGAGGGAAGAGATGAGGATCTGACTCCATGTTTAGAAGGCTGATTTATTATTTTATGATATATATGATATTAAAGCTATACTAAAAGAATAGAAGAAAGGGTTTCATCAGAAGGTTTGAAAGGAGAAAATGGAATGACAATAAAATCTTGTGACTGACCAGAGAGTCTGACACAGCTGACTGTGATTGGCCATTAATTACAAATAACCCCATGAGACCAATCCCAGATGCACCTGTTGCATCCCACAGCACCAGATAATCAATGTTTGCATTTCATTTCTGAGGCCTCTCAGCTTCTCAGGAGGAAAAAACCTAAAGAAAAGAATTTTCATACAAGGTGTCTGTGACAGGGAGGCCCTGGCAGAGGCTGCCCAGAGAGGCTGTGGTGCCCCAGGCCAGGCTGGACAGGGCTTGCAGCACCCTGGGCCAGCGGGAGGGGGCCCTGCCCAGGGCAGGGGGGCACTGGATGGGCTTTCAGGGCCTTTCCAACCCAAACCCTTCCAGGATTCTGTGCTGACAAAACTTTCACATCAAAGTTTCCAGCACCCAAAACTGTGCTTAACTCAGGTCATCCAAACAAGATTCTGACTTGTGTTTAATATCTCAACCTCCAAAAAGCTTCACTCCCACAAAGCCTGTGGTAGTGTGTTGTTAAGTTTCTTGTGTTATTCCCCCAATTTATGTATTGTTCTCCCCTATTATGTGTAAAATGGTTTCGTTCCCCCAGTTTTTCCCGCCACTGCTAGCCTGTCAGCTAAGTTGCTATGGTAACCGCTATTCATAGTTGCCGATGTGTAATTGCTCCTCCCCTGGTTTCCCTTATAAGTGAAAGTTGTTTCCTCCCTGTCCAGTCAATCACTCCCTTTCTCCTCCCAGGTTTCGAGAACCTTCTCCTCTCTGGAGATGGTGGCTGGCTGGGGTCCCAGGACACCTCCTTTACCTTTTGATTATTGGTCTCCATGGAGTGTCAGTTCTGTGAAGTTCATCCCCTCACCTTTCCCGATTGGTTCCGCCTGTACCCACCCCCCTCCTTTATAATCCTGTTTCACCCCCTATGAAAAATCTTTTTCCCGGTTGGTTTCCCGGTGTTTGGACCCCGCATCACCTTCAATAAACCGATGTTTAACCCCCGGGGAAATGGTCAGCTCCGTTCCTCCCCTATACCAGCGGTGTGAGCCAGTCCGCAGCCAGCACAGCCCGAGGCCCTCAGACGCCGAAGGGAGCTGGCCAGGAATTGCAGAGGGGCGTCGGCCTTTCGCCCTCAGCTAGTCGGACTCTGAACTTCGGGCCACATATGCTCCCCTCTGCAAAAGCCAGGCTCAATTGTGGGTCTCTTATTTTGCAGATTTAGTGGCAGCTTCTCTTATTTTGGAAATTTAGTGGTATGTAAATTCTCATTTTCATTTCAGACGCCTTTTTAGCCATAAAAATTACATCTGCAACACTTCATTAAAAAGAAAAGCAAACACATTCATTATTCAGCAACCCAGTCTTAAATTTGAGCAATAAGACACACTCAGATTAGTATTTCAAATTACCAGCTATACTTCAATTCCTGCTAGCCAAGTCTAATAAATTGTGGTTATTTTTTTTCCTTGTTCCATGTTCTTGCTTCGAGACAGCAAATTACAGCCTTTTAAATCTTCACATCAAGTACCTATTTCTTGGGCAGCAAATGAGAAAACTCTTATGAAAACCTCCAATTAATTATATTTTATTAAGAAGAAACACTTCTCTGATGAAGGAACTATTTCACTTTCCCTCTCAAGCTACTAAATAAAATATCCATCACAAGAGTTGAGTTTTCACATGTTTTTGGGAAGTTTGAAGTTTTCAATTTGCTTTATTTAATTTTGGACTTACAGATGTACTCTGATATTGCCAAGTATTTGATGGTGTCTGTGCTGGGGGGTTGGTTTGGTTTGGGTAGGCTTTCAGGGCTTTTTTTTCTGGTTTTTTTTTTATTTTATTATTTTTTTCCCCACAAATGACCTTCAGAATCCACATAGAGAATATCCCTGGTGAGATACTGGAAGAAAATCCCCACCAGCCAAACAGGATTCAGTAGTGACACCAATTAAAGGGGACTGGTTTCTGCTTTTTTATTGCTAATAGTAATTACTGCAGTGATAATGGCACTGCTCAAAACTCTCCTGGCTCTTGTGGTTTATATTACTGGACATCTTAAAATTAAAATCATTATTTCTTTTTTTTCCCCCCATTTCTGCTCATTTGGACAATGAGTAAATTGTGCTCAAGCACTTTCAAGTGACTTAATCACTTAAAGATGATATTTTTCTGCAATCTGTTGAACAAACACAAAATAGAAATCATTCATCACCCAATACCTCAGCAGCTTGAGCTGCTTTTATGCTGATAGTGCTGAGAAAATAAAAAAAATATTTCATATTTCCCACACAGCAACGGGCAATCCCAGTTTTAATAGGTCTTTCAAATTACAAAGTAAAAACTAAGTATTGACTAAGAAATATTTTAGACATTTTGAGCAAAACCAAAATCCCAGGAGGTTCCATAATGCATTCTGTAATTCTCCACCAGCATCAAGAAAATCCATTTAATTTTATTCCCACATTTCCTTGTCAGTGCAGACACAAATAAAAGACAAATATACACAAGGTTATAAAACTCTTGTTGCACATTTGTCTTTATGTTAGACTTGAAATCAGCTCTGCACTAATGAAATGGCTGCACAGGACTTTTGATAGGCAAACACCAAACACTTTTTTATGGACAAACTTTTAACAATGATGGTGCTTCTTTATTTTCCCAGTAGATCAACACAAGGCCAAGATTACAAATACACTCCAACCACTGCTTAATTATGGAAGGAGCTTTATAGATAAATCAATTTGACAAAATTGCTCTCTTTTTCATTATCTTTTGCCAGCAACTTGAACTTTTCCCTGACTTTTTCTAAATCCTATGGAAAGATGAAGAATGTTTTAGAAGCAATTGTTGGATGATTTGCCACCTGAGATCATAATGTTGTCAATTTTTCACCAGAGTCGTGTTTCAAGGGCTGAAATAAGCAAAGTGAAGTAAGGAAGCAAGATGTAACAAATCTCAAGAGGAAAATGCTGGCACAGGAAAAGTAAAATGTTGCAGGTGAGAGGGTTCTGAACAGAAAGAGGAAGCGCTGCACCCATGAAACAGATTTGCAGCAAATTTCACTCTGTGCACTGCAAAAGCTCATGAGAAATTCAACTGTTTATAAGGACAGTGGAAAATCAGTGTCCTGTGGTGAAAAGAAGGAACAGAACATGTGAAAAGAACATAAGAGAGAGAGTACAAAAACTGAAACAGCAACATGAAAAATAACCAAGCCCAGCTCTGCTGTAAACTAACTTTTAAAACAATGTTTTGTGTGCCAGCACTTCCCAGTGCCTCTCTATTGCTTCATAGCAGGGGCCAGCTCCTTCCTGTCAGCACAGGCAGCTCCCAGTGCTGCCATGGCCTGGGGACAGTCACTCCAGAGAGCCACGGAATCATTTCTGCTGGAAAACTCCATCGAGTGCAGCCTTTGACCATTGGCACCCTGCCAACCACACCATCAGCAGGGGCTTCTTGAACATCTCCAAGGATGGGGACTGCACCACCTCTCTGGTCTGTTCCAATGTTTTATCATGCTTTAAAAAATAAATTCTTATTTATGTGTAAGCTGAGCCTGCCCTGGCCCAGCCTGAGGCCGTTCCCTCTCCTCCTGTCCCTGTTCCCTGGGAGCACGGCCTGATCCCAGTGTCCCCTCCTGTCAGGAATTGTGCAGAGCCACAAGGTCCCCCTGAGCCTCCTTTTCTCCAGCTGAGCCCCTTCCCAGCTCCCTCCTGGCCTCTATCTAGACCCTTCCCATCCCTTGAACGCACTCCAGCACTCCAATGTCCTTCCTAAACCTACCTCAGTGTCCTCCCCTTGAACCCACTCCAATGTCCTTCCTAAACCAACTCCAGCAATGTCCTTACCTGAACCCACTCCAATATCCTCCCCTGAACCCACTCCAATGTCCTTCCTCAACCCACCCCAATGTCCACCCTGCACCCACTCCAATATCCTTCCTAAACCCACCCTAATGCCTTCCCCTGAACCCACTCCAATATCCTTCCTAAACCCACTCCAATGTCCTTCACTGAACCCACCCCAATATCCTTCACTGAACCCACTCCAATGTCCTTCCTGAACTGAGGGACTCATAAACCCCCAAACAGTGACCTGGCTTCCCGGCACTGCCTCCCAGCCCAAAGCAGCTCCACGAGCAGACAGCCGCAAACCACATCCCCCAGATTCCCTCAGCGCCCCCCAACCCAGCCCAGCCCTCACCTTGACGTGGGGCCCATCCACGGCCTTGCTCGCCAGCCCCTCCATCAGGTCGGCCCTGAGCTCCACGAGGAAGCGCGGCCCGCCCTCCAGGCGGCCCAGCTGCTGGAAGAGCCCTCGGTACTGGGGGTTCAGGTAGTAGCGGAGCCGGTCCTCGGCCTGCAGCAGCGCCCCCGGCTCCCTGCGCTGCTCGCGGGCCTGCAGCACCTTGGCGGCGGCCTCGGCCACCCGCCCGTGCTCCACGCCGAAGTCGCGGGCCAGGCGGGTCAGGAGCTCGGCGCGGGGCGGCCCGGGCTGCAGCGCGCGGTAGAAGCTCACGAACTCCGCGCCGCGCAGCTCGGCGGGCGGCGGCGCCTTCTCCTTGGTCTCGTAGGGCGGCAGCGGCGGCACCGAGCGGCGCAGCAGCTCCTCCATGGCCGGGGAAGCGCCCGACGAGAGGCGGCGCGGGCCCCGCGCGGCCCAGAGCAGCGGCCACAGCCGCTTCATCCCGCACACCACCGCAGGCCGCGGCACCGCCCGCCCGCCGCTCCGCGCGCGCTGATTGGCTGAGCCCGCAGAGTGACAGCATGCACAGCCAATGGGGAGTGAGAAAAGCGTGGCGGGGCTGGGGGTGTGTGAGGGGTGTGTCGGCCGCCATGTTGAGTGTGGCGATCAGAGGTCACGGGCTGGCCCCTCACGGCCTGGGGATGCCCCGGCACCGCCCTGCCCTCGGAATGCACCGCGCTGCACTTTGGAACCGTACAGTCATATCGGACACGGTGCCAGGCTGTGCCAGGGGAGGGTCAGGCTGCACGTTAGCAGGAATGTCCTCACAGAAAGGGTGATCAGACTTTGGGCTGCCCAGGGAGGCGGTGGAGTCACCTCCCTGGTCGAGAAGTTGGTGTTCAGTCACAAGCTGAACTTGATAATCTCAGAGGTCCTTTCCAACCGAACTGACTCTGTGGTTCCGTGAATCACCAAGATTGGAAGAGACCTTTAGGATCATCCAGCCTTAGTGCTCACCCAGCGCTGCCACTGTAACCCTTAAAGCACAGCAACAAATGCCAGATGTAGGCACCTAAACATCTCCAGGGATGGTGACTCCACACCTCCCTGGGCTGCCTGACCTCCCAACCAGTGAATAAATTCTTTTCAAATACCTAATTTGAATCTCCCCTGTCTCAGTTTATGACTTTACACTGTCCACTGTATCCCTGTCCCCTGTGGCTCCCATATTCCTGCTGGGGTGTACTGGGTTTGTGGAACAGCAGGCTTGCACAAGTCTGATATAAATCATCCATGTGTGACTACAAGTGACACAATTGTGGCTTGGTGCACAGCAGGGAACAAATCTGATTTCCTGGGCAGCTGCTCCATGTCCTGAGGAGGCTGTGGCTCCTGGAAAGCTGCTGATATTTTCAGGGACCACAGCCCCAGGCCAGCCCTGCTGCAGTTTTAGCTCTGAAACCTCTGCAGGAAACAACACAAATTTGGTTGTGCAATTTTGAGGTCACAGACCTGAGCGTGGCCTGTTCTTAAAGCCCTGTGGCAAAAAACTCATCATGAGCCCACAGAGTGCACTCTCAAGTGTGTCCGGACCTTTGTTAAATGAAGTTAAACATCTCCATCGTGCTCCAGCTCAGGCTTACAAAGGCAAAATTCCTCTGGAATTAAGGATTTGCCTCCTTTAGACATTAAAGCAGCAAAACACACAGATGATGATGTCAGTGAGGTTAGAATTGAGCAGCAATTGTTCTTAAAAGCGCAGGGAATTGTGATTCTCAGTGTTAGAAATAAGAATTGAGGAGAGGATCAAGCCCTCTTTGGCAGTGACGAGACAAAAGAGAACTCTGCCTAATTACACATTTTAGAACAATGTGTTAGAGATTCCCAAGGAAGGGAACAAAATATAAAAGAACACCATGAGCAGTATAGTGCTAGGGAACTGAGGAGCATAAGATAAACTATTATACCCTTAAGGGAGGGAAAACATGACTCAGAGGCATTAAAATATATTAAAAAAAAATTTTTAAAAAACGCTTTTATCTCATTAGCAATGAATTAAGCTTTAGAAAATCCTTTCCCACCTAAAGAACTTAATTTTCAGCATAATAAAAAGCCTTCAGAGTTGGCTGGTCAGTCCTTCTCCTTCAGCTCCCCAGGAAAGGAAGGGGCTGCCAGAGAGGCTCTGTCTGTGCCAGATTGCCAGGATATTGTCTTTGGAGACAGAGGGGTAGGTAAAAACTTCCACCAAAATTCATTATGATATTTCTGTATGCAAATACAGAATTTTTTTTAATAGAAATTCTTCAGTTTTAAATAGGGATGCATTAGAAAGGTACAACTTTTTCCACTTGAAAAGTAAAATAAAACGTTTTTAGCCATGCTTTATAAAAAGAGGTGGACAGACTTTTATTTCAGAGGTGGACAGACTTTTATTTTACCTCTTTTTAACAAAAGACAGCTAGAAAATGAATTTTTCATTCTATATGTTTAATAATGATCTTAAACCTGCTGTGCTTGTTCAATGTATGATTCTATAATAAACTTCTTCACAATCTGAGGCAGATTTATTTGATATAAACCCTAAAATTGGGCTAAAATTATTCTAGTTAGTCTTTTCTATTCAATGAAAGCCTTGTTCCAGCTCAGTTCCTGATTCAGAAATTTCAGGAAGGCTGAGATAGAGATGTTAGCACAGGGGGGAGAGGGCTGATGAAAGATGAAGGCTCCAAGCTGCCAGAAAATGGTCAGCATTTCTCAGGATCAATTCCTTTTAAAAATCCTATCTAGAAATGCTTCTGTTCTTTCCATTTTGACAGCACTCTCACATTGGCCTTGGGTGGGATTCCTGCAAGAGCAGAGCTCTCCTGCATGACCCAGGGCCATGAAAACCAGCAACCAGAACCCTCTGAGGGGCAGCTTGTAAGGCTTTCTCAAGTAAGACATTTCTTTTGAAACATTCTACTACTTTCTTTTTTTTTTTTTTTCTTTTTTTTTTCCCCAGGGAAAACTTACTATCTGCTTCAGCTGCTGCCTGGAAAATGAAAATACAGCTCTGGCTGTGAGGACCTGAGGCTTTGAGACCCTTCTGCACAGTGCTGGATGTGTCATGTCACCCTCGTCCCAAATTCCAGCCCCTCTTCCCCAGATCTGCCTTGCCACCATGGACCTTTACTCTTGAAAACGTTTATTACAGAAAACTGGATGTTATTATTGGAAAATTGGAGGTTGAAAGAGCCTAATTGCACTTCAGTAATTGTAAATTTTGTCTCTGAGCAAAAAGAGAAGCTAATAAAAGATGGGAAATCAATTTGAGCCAGTCAATCTGATCCTCTTTCTTTTTTTTTCTCTTTAATCTGTTCAAATGTTAGGTAAAAATAAAACACATGCTCTGTATTTTATTTACCTCTGCTCAATAACTCCACCTTAGCAAAGACAAACTGATTTATGACGGAAATGAAGGTAGGCCTGTGGCTTGGGGTTTGTTTTGTTTCTTTTCTGTATTTGCTCTTACATGCAGAGTGCCACATAAATGTATTTAGGACAAGAGTCTGAGCTGGGAAATAGACTGTGCTATTATTCAAGAGAATAGGAGAGCTTCAGTTCACCTCAAAAGAAACAAGATGGAGCCAATGATTTCCAATAAATCTGTGTTTGTGCCTGCACAGTGTTCATCCAAGGGAGATTTGCCAGGAAACATCTGACAAAACCCTCTCTATCCTAAAGATGTCATATTCTTGTAATAACAGAGTTTATACACCAATTTCTCTTTTTGAGCTCTCAAACTAAAGATTTTTTTTAAATATATTTTGGAAAATATTCAAGATATCTCTGTGATCAGCTGAAAACCAGCCCTTTTCTGGCTGATAAGAGGAAATAAAAGGTCTCCTCTTCTGTTTTCCTTTCGGCACAGTGCTTGCAGTGGGAGAGCAGAGTGGGAAGCTCTGAGCACATTTTGTAATAGCTCAGAACAGAGTTTGTAAAATTACTTTAAATGAGCAAGTATCCTATTTTGAAGAGTTCATAAATCTCATAAAATACTGGAAAGAGCAAACTTGCTGTAGTTACTGAGTAAAAAGCAGGATCTTTTCAGCTTTTTTGCTCTGCTCTTCAATTATTCAGCCCCTCCAAATAGGCAGTTCTGAGGGTGGTTTCGTTCCAGCTCCCCAAGCTGGGTGTTTAAAATGAGATAGCAACATTCCAGAGCTGTAGGCAGTGTTCAGCTAAAATTCATCTTAATTTTAGATAAATACATTTTTTTAATATAGAATTACCTGGCTTTAGGCACAGGAGGCTTGTACTGAGAGCCTGCAGGATCAGCTCTGTGCAGTTTTCTTCAGTTCTACCTGGGTTCAGGATTTCCTTCCTGAGATTTTCTTGCTTAATTTGCCTGCACTGAGTTGTTCTCCAGGTAATGACACCAAGCACTGAACAGCAGAGGTGTCTGCCCCTGAAATGAGATCATGGCAATATTTGTTTTAAGTGATTAATCTCTATCCAGCAGTTCCCTGAAATTATTATGAACCTGAGGATTTTTATTTAGAATGCTGTCGAATCAGAACTTTTATCATAAAACTCTGGCTTCTATGTCTTTTTGTCTACCAAATTTAGGAATATTTATAACTGACAGTGGACCATTTATAATGGTTCATCAAATATTTTTTTTTGAAGGAAAACCAAAGCTCTTGGAGATTTTAAGAAATGTCCCTAGTATCTCACAGCACAATTAAACAGATTGTAATACGTTTTTATTTTCAGGCATGGGTCGTAAATACAATGTTGAAAGATGCCATTATTCATATGAACATTGAATTTATTTGCTTTATTGTCTGATACTCAATTTTGCTGTTACAGGGTTGATAGTAAATAAAAGTAGAATATAATACATGAATTTATAAGTCATGTAAATTCTTACACTACTTATAAATTCATGTACTATATTCTACTTTTCACCCTTGGTGCCACAGAATCCTTGCAATTATCACAGAGATTGCTCCCACAGAGGTTTCCACTTTCCCCCTCCTATTTATGCTGGTATCATGAAAAAGAGCAAAAAAACCCCTAATTTCTCTTTTAGTTTGAAAAACAAAAGGTAAATGTCAGCCAGAGTTGTTTCCCCACCACCTCTTTACAAACATCCCTTTCCTTTTTCCCTTATTTTGTATTTTCCTCACTGGAAAAGTCTTCATTGGTGATTCAATTCCTAGATAAATCTTCTACTGCCATTTACCAGCTCATTCAGCTCCTTGATATTAATTCTTGTTCAGGCTTAGATGGCACATTAGAGGAAAATGAGGCTAAAGATTTAAGCAGATACTTTTAATTATGTCTGGCTCTAATAGAAGATGGGCAGAATCTTACAGAATATTAAACTACTTTCTCCTGCATGAAACTTTTATGCTTATATCACAACCCATTCAGTGTAGGAGCAAATTCTTCCTTATTACAGTTTTTTCAAACTGATGTTTGTAGTTTTTCTCCTTCATTGCTGAGACAGATTTTTTTTTGTGTATGTGAATTTGGGCGCCTAAGTACTAAATGAAATTCCCTTCCAGCCTACAGAAAAAGGAAGAGTGTAAGAGTGAGGAGCTGTCTCCCTGTTCTCCAGCTTGAAGTAAAAATTAGATTTTTAAACACCTGGAACAGAGAGCAAGGAGGAAGAGGAACAGAGGACACCAGGAAGAGGAAGCTGCAGGACTCAAATATGGAGGGAATCTCACTGAAATCCATGAGAAATTCAACAAAATATTTGGGATTCTTTGGGAAAGGACAAAACTTTTCGTCTGCTGTGGGGCTGAACTCCCTGGGGCTGTGCCTCAGCTGTGAACAGAACAGAGCCCCGGGGAATTTTGCACTTTTCATTTCTCTCTGGTTTTTACCTTCTCCATCCCAAAGGAGCAGATGAATAGCGCATTACTGAGCTGGGTGGTGCTCAGGGAAAGGACTGACCTGACAATCCAGGTGTTTATGGGAGTCAGTGCCTGATTTTTGTGACTGCAACACCTGGGAAGGGTTGGGTTGTCCATGAGTGACCTTGGCACTGCCCTGGCTAACCAATCTCTCTATCTCAGACTTCTTGAAATTTCTGAATCAGAAACTGAGCTGGCCCCCAAGGCTTTCATTGAATAGAAAAAACCTTAGACTAATTTTAGCAAAATTTTAGGTCTTCTGTCAAACAAATCTGCATCAGATTGTGAGGTTTGTTACAGAACTTTTGCAGCCCACTCCAATTCAACTCCAGGCATGGACTGGATTAAAGAAGGAGGAGTTCAGCTTTCAGTTTGCTTATTTACTGAGTAAATGTTTCTTTTACAGTTCGTGTTTAAGCCTACAGGGATGAGTATAGGCTGCCTGTTATAATCCTATGCAAATTTATTTAGTCTCCTGTATGCTAAAAGCGTTCATTAGTTTTAATAAACACAAAGATTGGGAAACTGAGAGCTGTAATAATTGCTTTACACAGCATGCAACTTAATAATCAGGAAACAAACTCCTTTAAAACCTCTTGTGTTTATACTACTGGCAGTGAAAGTACTGCTTTTACACTGTTGTCTTCCACAGACCTGATTTTTAGTGTTGCTGGAGTTTCCTTGAGGCAATTAGTTTGGGAAATTATCTGTTGGAATCGTTGTGGTGCCTGGACTCAGTTTAATTGCAGAATGCTGACTTGCTTTGTGACATGGCGTTATTTCATAAAGTTACCAGCAGCCTTAACAGATGTGAAATGCTGCAGCCGAGGCACTGAAGTGTTTACAGTGTTCAGTTTGTGTGTAAATCCAGGAATACAGAAATTGCAAGGATGTCAGAATTTATGATAGCAACCTATTAATCTGTCACCAGCTCTAAAGGCCTCTAAAAGCTCAATTACCACTGAGGTGTCTCCGTGTTATTCCCCCAGTTCTGCAGGAGTGAATCATGGTGAGGAAAAGGTGATGTTTGTTTTGGTCATTTCAATTGTTTCTGTGCATTTCCTACACCCTGTTTGTTTTGTTTCTTAACATTTCTACAAGTGTGGAATTTAAAAAAACAAAACCCACCAAACATTAAATCAATGCTCTGACAGCCAGTTAATTTAACCTTTAGAAATCATGTTTGCAGAGGAGCTGGTGAATGGGAAGTGCATTCAGCTGATCTCTCTGGGTTTGTTTCCACAGTCAGTGGTAGGATGGAGGTTCTTCCAGAAAATCACTAGATGTGTTCCTTCTTCCAGAAAGTCACTAAATGTATTCCTTCTTCCAGATGGTCACTAGATGTATTCCTTCTTCCAGAAGGTTCCTAAATGTGTTCCTTCCAGAAGATCCCTAAATGTGTTCCTTCTTCCAGAAGATCACTAAATGTGTTCCTTCCAGAAGGTCACTAGATGTGTTCCTCCTTCCAGGAGGTCCCTAGATGTGTTCCATCTTCCAGAAGGTCCCTAAATGTGTTTCTTCTTCCAGAAGGTCACTAGGTAGGATGGAGGTTCTTCCAGAAAATCCCTAGATGTGTTCCTTCTTCCAGAAAATCCCTAAATGTGTTCCTCCTTCCAGAAAATCCCTAGATGTGTTCCTCCTTCCAGAAGGTCACTAGATGTGTTCCTTCTTCCAGAAGGTCCTCAAATGTGTTCCTCTCTCTCCACCACCTGCAGGAAGGTGCTGCTGTCACAATCAGTGTTTTCCAAGCAAACTAGACAGAATTTATTCCCTTAAACTTCCAATCACGGCAGGAAATTCTTCTAAAATCCATAATAACCATGGCCAGGACAAGTCCATGGAGAGTGGGCAGAGCTGTCCCTTGGCCCTGGGACAGCCCCTGAACCTGAGCAGCCCTGGAGGTGTGGAGCCATCAGCCAGGCCCCAGTGGCTGCTGAGGTAATTATCACCAAACCTCTCCATCCTTCTTAATTAGAACCTTTGTTCTCCCTGCCAGCAGCAGATCTCATCCCAGTTTATGTCCTAATAAAATTGACAAAGTCTCTCATTTCAGAGATCAAAAGTGCTGCAGAGTGCCAGCCCCCAAGAGTTGGGAAGAAGTTGCTGTGAAGAGTTTGCTGTCAGATTTTCCCCATCTCAGGAGCTCCTGCAGCAGCTCAGAGCAGCAGATGCCTGGGGCTTCTCCCCAGTTTCCAGAATGTTCTTTCCCTTAAGCCCTGTGCTCTGTGTTTCACAAGGAGCAGAGTTTAGGAGCAGCCTGGCATCCAGCAGCACTGGGATGTGGGGAAAAAACTAATAAGTTTTTAATTTTAAATTAATATTTTCTGAATTTTAAATTAAGGATGAATACTATCTGAATTTTAAATAAACATCTATGTTAATTTAAATACTTCTCTGAATTTTAAT